CTTGGAGATATCGCTGATGAATAATCGGTTTGGCTATGGGAAACCGTTTGGTCATTCTTCATGTGAGAAAGTAAACTTATTAGAGGAGAACCTGTAAAGTAGCTCAGGCATAACAATGGGCTGAAGCTGCACACGTGTGACAGATGCTTGCCCGTGTTTTCATTGATCACACAGACGTGTGGACGTCTAATTGTTTTACGTTGACACAGAACTTTGAACAGTATACTCTGCAAATCAATCTGCTGAACCCCTGATGCGATGATTTATCTGCTTGGGGACAAAATGGTGTCGAGAAACACTTTATTCTCTCTTGTGGAAGCTTATCGACCTGTTGTTTTGTTACGAGAAGCACCATCACTGAGGGTTTCCTCAACCGTTTTGCCGATTGTCAACTCAAACTAGTCGTGTATCTCTCTGTGTAGTGTTTCTGTATGGTCAGATCAACTACATGCTAGCCGGTGACCTTCAAAGAATACAGTAAATGTTCGACTGGAGAGTGTTGGGTGTGATGACTAACACATTTGTTTTCTTTTTCTTTTTTCTTACTCCCCTTCCCCTTTTGTGAACTGTTTAAAGCATACACTACAATGTGCTACAAAGGCATCCTTGAGCAAGGTTTGATTTAGGTGTTCAAAATCCAATAAGAGAGAGAGAGAGAGAGAGAGAGAGAGAGAGAGAGAGAGTTGATAGTTGAGAAGACCACAATGCTTTACATTCCACACACAACACTTGACCGGAGGACTGGAATGGAGATAAACTTGCCCACACAGTGTTGAAAAAATAAAAAAAAAGCCTTGGTCCATGATAAGAGACATTGCAGGGGGAAGGGGGGGACTTAGATACACACATACTCTAAGCGTGTGTCTGTTATGCATTTACACATTGATTGAATGCCTTTTCGAGTCCTTGATTTTTCTACCAAGGTTCTCAGATCAATGGAAATAACTGGTCATATGTAGCTCTGAAAGTTTTGAATATTTCACTATCCATAATTAATGACATTCTTGGTTCACAAAAATTCTACACCTGTAAACATGTAGAAAAACAGAGAAAGCAGCCTCATATTTCATGAGCCTCATCATTATACTCAAGCATCTCCTTTATAATATATAATCAATTAAGAAAGATTCTAATGACTTATTTACAGTATGCCATTCATTTCCATTTCAGGGATGATGTTTATTGAATTTAAGCAGCATTTTATTTATTTATTTATTTATTTATTTTCTGGAGGACAGGTCATCTTGCTGTCATAATACAGAAGGAGACAACACTGGTAAGTAGCAGAACACTGGTGTTTTATTTGCAGGAAACGGAAGCATAAGCAGGATTCAAAGAGTCAATATAACTGCAGTTAGATAGTTTGTGGGGAACTTAGCTTAATGATAACGGGCATCGTGATGTGTTGCAGAAGCGGATGGCAGAACAGGACTCAAATGAGCTAAAGGGTTGTTTAGCTCTGAACAGACAATGGCTGTAGCATGTAAGTTTAACAGGAAAGGAGTCAGGTAAGTGTCCATAGAGCAGACGAGATCAGACAATTGGTGTGAGGATGGTGACTGCCTATATAGTGCGGGTGATGAGTAGAGGTGCCGTGAATCAGTAATCGGGGGGGGGGGGGGGGGGGCGGGTTGTGATCGGATGGGCAGAGCTGGGTAATCTGGTGTTGACGGTGTGGCTGTTAATGATCCTGTGACAGCACCCTGTCCTCCCAGGCAGCTCCCGATGACCACAATGTGCGACAAAGGGGGTGGCATCAATCTCTGGGAGCTGGGCGGTTAGGGTTTATATTGTGGAACTGGGTAAGTAGGGATGGATCCAGTATATCATCCAGGGCGACTCATGATCGTTCTTAATGGCCATACCCCTCCTCATCGTCGGGAGTCGAGAATGGACAAGACCATTAGATGAGCTCTTCATCATCGACATCCGGAGAAGGAGGAGGCACCTCGTCAACACCAGATTCTGAGATGCATGCGGTAATGTGAGGGAAGATTGAGCCAGTTCACACCATGCCTGCCAAGCCAGATACTCTTCTGCTGGATTCTCCATGGCCCTCTGAGCTGCCTGCGCCGCCCTGTCACACTCCCACCCCTTGGATATTTTATGGCGTGAAGACGCACCTTCCGGGAGTTTTGATTCATGTTTGTATTTCAGTTCTAGTGTTTTGCTGTCAGTTTGTTTATTAGTTCAGTTATCCACCTTTCTCTCCCTGTTTGTCTCTATGGTTACTGATTTAGTTAATTAGTCTAATTTGTTCCTCTGTTTGCTGTGTAGGCTATTTTAACCCTGTCTTTCAGTTTATTGCCAGTTGTTATGTTATGTTACGTTTAGTGTTAATTTTACCAGCCATTTTTAAATTTAGTTTCAGTTTTAGTCCAGTTTCAGCATCGCTTGTTAGTTTTTATCACATTTAGTCGACATCATCCCATTTTTATTTAGTCTAGTTTTAGTCGACTATAAGTCGAGCATTTTAGTCTTTATTTTAGTCCAAGAAAACATAATTTTATTCGTTTAGTTTTAGTCAAAAAAAAACTGTCAACATTTTAGTCTAGTTTAGTCAGGACATCATTTTAACCATTTACTTTTTTGTCAGCAGATAATATTTAACATTTCCTAAAATTATTTCACATTTCAACATTTTCTCTCATCTTTTTGATAAAAAAAACACAATTTTAAGGAACACATGCAGACATGGAAGATGTTCTGACAATATTTGCATATTTATTTTGAACATTGTTAAGGTTCAAAGACACAAACACAAATGCTTGCATTAAAACAAATAAAATACACCTGACAAAGGAAACAAATAAATAAAATAAAGTGTATTATGAACTTAACACAAGTGCTGGCTGTTTAAAGCTAGTTCACATAGAATAATAAAATAAATAGATTTGAGGTCAATGTTGTGAAAAAAAAAAAAACTCCAACTGATACAACAAAAGTGCTTTCCTGCCAGCTAGTTCACATGTTATATAAAGGTACAGTATTTAAGGTGAAACAAGGCATAGATTGCTAGAACGTATGAAATCTTTTTAACTAATCTTTTTAAAGCGTCTGTCTGCTTTAATCAAATGTAACTGAAACTATAGTTGCCCGGCCAGTATAACATATCTAAGTTAGCATAAATTTAACTTCACATACAATTCTATCAACAACTGGCTACGGTCGCTACGTGCTAAGAAGCTAACGCAACATAGCCAGCCTGGATACTAAATGCTATGAAAGTTAGCCATCATTAGTTAGTTTATCATCAAAATGTGTCCATATTGTTATGTGGGTGGCTGATGAACCCACTAGCAGACAGCAACTGATTCTCAAAGGGGTTTATTAAAGGACAAAACAGAAAGAAAAACCCACGATGGGGCAAAACAGGACAGGGTATAACACACTAGACTAAGACTATGAACTAACAATAGAACCAAACTCTTCTTGACAAGACTCACAACTAGTTACTCACAGCTTGATACAAACACAAAGTATGATAAAGTCAAACACTGAACTCACAGTAGGTTTCACACAATCTTTCACAATGAACCGACACAGGACAGCAAACACAAGGGGATTATACCCAGATAGCAAAATTGTTGTGGCCCAGATCCGGCCCACAGTTGACACTTTCATCTGGCCCACATACCGCGTGGAATGATGGCACTTGGGCGGACCGCTCCTGTTTGCCAGATTTGGGCCACAATTAAGCCATAGCAATGCCACATGTCAGCCATAAAAAAAATGAATGAAGCAGAACTGGCCCACATCTGGCCCACGCACCAAAATTGCTGTGGCCCAGATCCGGCCCACAGTTGAGACTTTCATCTGGCCCACATACCGCATGGAATGATGGCACTTGGGCGGTCCGCTCCTGTTTGCCAGATTTGGGCCACAATTAAGCCATAGCAATGCCGCATGTCAGCCATAAACAAAACAAATGAACCGAACTGGTCCACATGTGGGCCAGATGAAAGTGTCAACTGTGGGCCGGATCTGGGCCACAGCAATTTTGATGTCTGGGCCAGATTTGGGTCAGGTGTGCTTCATTCGTTTTTATTATGGCTGACATGCGGCATTGCTATGGCTTAATTGTGGCCCAAATCTGGCAAACAGGAGCGGACCGCCCAAGTGCCATCATTCCATGCGGTATGTGGGCCAGATGAAAGTGTCAACTGTGGGCCGGATCTGGGCCACAGCAATTTTTATATCTGGGCCAGATTTGGGCCAGTTCTGCTTCATTAAATTTTTTATGGCTGACATGCGGCATTGCTATGGCTTAACTGTGGCCCAAATCTGGCAAACAGGAGCGGACCGCCCAAGTGCCATCATTCCACGCGGTATGTGGGCCAGATGAAAGGGTCAACTGTGGGCCGGATCTGGGCCACAGCAATTTTTGATGCATGGGCCAGATTTGGGCCAGTTCTGCTTCATTCGTTTTTTTTATGGCTGACATGCGGCATTGCTATGGCTTAATTGTGGCCCAAATCTGGCAAACAGGAGCGGACCGCCCAAGTGCCATCATTCCACGCGGTATGTGGGCCAGATGAAAGTGTCAACTGTGGGCCGGATCTGGGCCACAGCAATTTTGATGCATGGGCCAGATTTGGGCCAGTTCTGCTTCATTCGTTTTTTTATGGCTGACATGCGGCATTGCTATGGCTTACTTGTGGCGCAAATCTGGCAAACAGGAGCGGGCCACCCGAGTGCCATCATTCCACGAGGTATGTGGGCCAGATGAAAGTGTCAACTGTGGGCCGGATCTGGGCCACAGCAATTTTGATGCATGGGCCAGATTTGGGCCAGTTCTGCTTCATTTTATTTGTTTATGGCTGACATGCGGCATTACTATGGCTTATTGTAGCCCAAATCTGGCAATCAGGAGCGGACCACCCAAGTGCCATCATTCCATGCGGTATGTGGGCCAGATGAAAGTGTCAACTGTGGGCCGGATCTGGGCCACAGCAATTTTGATGTCTGGGCCAGATTTGGGCCAGTTCTTGCTTCATTCGTTTTTTTTTTTTATGGCTTAATTGTGACCCAAATCTTGCAAACAGGAGCGGGCCACCCAAGTGCCATTCCACATGGTAGGTGGGCCAGATGAAAGTGTCAATTGTGGGCCGGATCTGGGCCACAGCAATTGTGGTGTCTGGGCCAGATGGGGGCCAATTCTGCTTAATTTGTTTTGTTTATGGCTGGCATCCAGCATTGCTTTGGGCTAATTGTGGCCCAAATCTGGCAAACAAGAACGAACCATTCAAGTGCCATCATTACACATGCGGTATGTGGGCCAGATGAAAATTAATGCACTTAAGGCAGTCCCCTCCAGTTTGCCAGATTAGAGCCACAATTAAGCCATAGCAATGCCACATGTAACCAAAACACAAACCAAATACACAGCTGACCACAGTTGCAATCCTGTTTGCCAGATCTGGTCCACAAGCAGGAAATTTGTTCAGCCACATGTGTGTCAAGAATTACATAAATAGACTATAACTGTGTGTTTTTGTTTTTGCATGCTGTGACTGACACTAAGAAAAATATACACTAAAGAGAAATTTAAAAATGCCCCCTTTCTATGTTAAGAGAAGTTACAACAGATGATTTAAACACATTTCTGAAAACATTTGCATTATTTATTAATATTGTCAAAGAACAACCAAGTGCAAGTTTCAATTTTCAAAACTGGAAAGCAATCAAAAAAATAGTAATAATAAACAAACACAAAATATGTGCATATAAAGCATCTTAGAGCTAAACAAAAAACAAAACATGTTTCCAGTTGGTCACATCCAGAGCCACCCAAAATTAAAGAAGTCGACCTCCTTGACTGGGCCCATCTGGCAATCTTGCAAGCCTTTATTGGATACACACAAAAAACAAAACAATTGTTGACTCAGTAACAGAATGCTGATTTTCAAAGTGTTTTACTAGCAATAGTAGAAAAATGGACTGGACCTATCAGTGCATTAAACAGTTTGGTAAATCTAAAGGGCTATTTATACTTCTTCGTCGAACTCATGCCATAGCTACGTTGTAGGCTGTGTGTAGCGCACGTACCCTTCGGCGTACCCTGACGTGCACCTCTCCAAAAATGTAACAACGTGTCAACTCTAAAGAAATGCAAGAGCTGTGATTTGTCTGCCAGGACTGCTACCTCGGATTTCACATGCTCCCTCTACAAGAGTAATTGCACGTCAACGCGGACAATGACGCTAAAGTATAAATGAAAACCAACGCGTTGCCTACAGCATAGAAGCTTCGGCGTAGGTCCGACGCAGAAGTATAATGAGGCCTCAAGGCTAGGGTTGGGTATCGTTTGAATTTGAACGATTCTGATTCCGATTCCTTGTTTCGATTCCGGTTCCTAACGATTCTCGATTCTTTTAAGAGGCAGGGTCAAAAAAGTTGGATCGCCGACGTAAGGTACTCATGTTCGACTCGCGTGGTTATGCCAACACTTCCGGTAGACGCTTCTTCGTTGATGTTGTTCAGCGGTTTCTTCTTCCGCTCGGCGGACTGTGAATATCGAAAGTAGGAATCGAAATTTTAACTTTTGAACGATTCCGGGAAAAATGAAAAGTTAGTCTCGGTTCCAATCGATACTCGATTATCGATACCCAACCCTACTCAAGGCCTTAATTGTGAACATTAATTAATGTATTAACTAGTATTAACTAACATGAAGTGCATTATTTATTAACCATTTTTGGTAACACTTTACAATAAGGTTCATTAGTTAATATTAGTTAACTACATTAGTTAACTAATGAACTAATGATGAACATCGCTTATACAGCATTTATTAATGTTTGTAAACGTTAATTTCAATTTTTACTAATACTTTATTAAAATCTTGTTAACATTAGTTAATGTGCTGTGAACTAACATGAACAAAGAATGAACAGCTTTATTTTTTATTAACTAACATCAACGAAGATTAACAAATACTGTTACAAATGTATTGCTCATGGTTAGTTCATGTTAGTTAATACATTAACTATTGTTAACTAATGAACCTTATTGTAAAGTGTTACCCCTTTTTAATGTTTCAGTCATTCACTGTTTGTTCATGTTAGTTCACAGTGCATTAACTAATGTTAACAATTACAACTTTTGATTTGTATAATTATATTATATTATATATAATTTTTTTACTGGACATTTTAAAGCTCATAACCATATTTTATTGTTACTTAAACTTAGAGTTTAGTGTTATGTTGCATCATGCAGTATTTCTGCTGAAGAGTAAGAGTCAATGTCTGTTACCTCAATAAATGTTAAAAGGTCATTCCTATTTTATTTGTGTACATTTTAATTATTAACATTACAAGCACCCTCTTTTTATGACTAAAATAACAGGTAAGGGTAAAAAAAACTGAATTCTCAAACATGGAAAATGAAAAAACGGAATTAGCAAAAATGAAAATGGAAAAAACAGAATTTGGGAAAAAAATAAAACTAAAATATTCTAGGGCCATAATCAAGTATTCAGACAGACCATGGTATTATACACATGGCAAAAACACAATGTAGCTGACTTACAGGTGTCTTGGGACCTCCTTCGTTTCTTGCTTTCTCTTCTCCCTCCGTCTCGGTCACTTGACAGATGAAGCCATTTTTTAATAAATGTTTCAATTTCTTGATCGGTGGCCGTAGCTGTCAGTCTATTGGTTCTGACAGTTCCTAAAAATATAGAACATTGTAAATGCAAGGATGACAACTTTTAAAATCTTAGGACACAATTAGCAGGAATACAAGCATTGACCAAGTGCATACTTTGCCAGTGCCACTCTAAAGAACATTTGGCCCAAGGCAACAAGGACACATTTCGGACAAGGACACTTTTTGTTTCTTTTGTTTGTTTTTGCCAAAAAGGCACAAGTTCAACCTTTTTTTAGCAAACCAGGGTGACTAGGAACATGTATTTGTATAGATATGTTTTCTTGTTTCAGAGGAGTTTAAATATACCACCAGCAATTTTCTGTAGAAAATCACATCGACATATGTTATTAAGGTGAAAAGCATCCTGACTCAAAACAGTAAATAAAAAAAAATAAATAAAAACAAAGCAGAAAAACTCATTTTAAAATGACTAGGGTATACTAAAAATGTGAAATACAAAGTAATAATACCTGAACCAACTTGCTCAATAATATCTATTAGGCTATTGTTACTTTGTAATCATCTCATAAAAGCTTTTATTGTAATAAAAAGCATGTAGTAATTTGTGCTTTCACAAAGTAATACAACTACAGTGCAGTATTACTGTATGCCCAATGTACATGAATGAAATATTACACTGGGCTTTATACATTTTTTATTGTTGTGCCAAAAAAGCTAGAGTTAAATATTTTCACCATTCAGAACTGACTGAAGATTGGCAAGATCGGAGCACAGACACTACCGGTCAAAAGTTTTAGATCAGTTAAATGAAGTCTCTTCTGCTCACCAAGGCTGCTTCATTTGATGAAAAAACAAAATGACAAACAGAAATATTGTGAAATATAATGACAATTTTGAAATGACTGTTTTCTATTTTAATATATATTAAAATATAATTTGAAAGCTGAATTTTCAACATCATTACTGTCGCTGATTACAGATCAGTTTTCAGTGTCACATCACACATGATCCTTCAGAAATCATTCTAATATGCTGATTTTATGCTCAAAAAACATATATTATTATTTTCAATGTTGAAAACAGTCGTGTATCATTTTCCCCCCAAACTTCTATGATGACTTCTATGATTTATTTAAAATATAATCTTTTCTAACATTAGAAATGTCTTTACTGTAACTTTAGATCAATTTAACTCATCATGGATGAATAATAGTATTTTTTAAATTTATTTCCCCCCCAAAAATAAAAAAATAAAATCTTACTGACCCCATACTTTTGAATGGTATGATTAATGTTACAAAAGCTTTCCATTTCAGAATAATTCTGTTCTTTTGAACTTTCTATTCATCAAAGAATCCTGAAATAAAAATGTAAAAAACTGTTTTCAACATGGATAATAATCATAAATGTTTCTTGAGCATCATATTATAATAATTTTTGTAGGATCATGTGATACTGAAGACTGGAGTAATGATGCTGTAAATTCAGCTTCGATAATAAATTACACTTCAATATATAACATAGAAAACCGCTGTTTTAAATTGTAATAATATTTCATAATATTACTGATTTTTTTTTTGGTATTTTTTATCAAATAATTGCAGCCTTGGTGAGCAGAAAAGACTTCTTTTAAAAAACATTACCGATCTAAAACATTTGACCGGTAGTGTAGCCACATTAGCAAATGTAAATACTTTTGGCGCCCCTATTCAATCGATACTTGTTCATTCGCATTCGAGAACCATAATAGTTCCTTAGAGTTATACTGCCAAATGATCTACTTCAAGTATAGAAGTTATTCCATTAACTCATACAACAATAGGTATGAAGCAATCGCCTAGCCCTAGAAAATATAAATGTATCGATTATATCTTACCTTGGTGATTGTTTGCAGTATTCGTCCTCCCTCAAACTGACAATCCTCTGGCTTGGTTTCGAGCTCCTTTTTCGCGCTTCACGGCTAGTTTAAATTAAAGGCCCAATCGTCGGTTTGTCTTCCTCTAACTGACGTTGGTTTCCAGCGCCTTTTCAAATTTTACAGCTACGTTTAAATTTAAAGCCCCGAATCGTCAGTTTTTTTTTTTTTCAAAGACAACTTCACATGCAGTAAATATTTTTTACAAAGAAAATAGAGATCTTATCTCTAATAAATAAGTAGGCCTAAGCTGAAGCAAAAAAAAAATAAAAAATAAAATAAAAATTGAAAAAGTTTATTGTCAAAATAATAACATCAAGAGCTCACTAATCACATAATTGTGTATTTCATTATATATGATAATGTTAAATTATAGATATTGTTTTATCTTTAAGAAAGATCATTTATAGACTAAAATGACTTTTGTATAAATTTATATTAAGCCAAAAATGTAATTAAATTTTCATTTATGTATTTAAATACGTTTATTTTGTTTTAAAATATTACAATATTTTTTATATTTTCAATATTGAATTTTTATTTTATTTGATTATAGCTATTTTTAAATATTTGAATATTGTACAAGTCCTGTACGTTTGTTATAAAAAATAGCCCAAAGTAGGCTACAACATGTTCCTGGCTCAGCATCTTATTGATCCTGGAACAGCATTCATATCGACAAATTAGAATTGAAGTTTGAAGTTATGCCAACCATGCTTCTTTAGATAAGTTTATTAAAATGTCCCTCCTACTTTAGGGATCGGGTTAGGATAGGACTATTTTTATGAACAGGAATTATGTGCCTTGATCAACAAATTATGTTGATACAGGACATGTACTTGGCAAAATCATTGTGCCCTAAGCTTTGCACAAATAGCAATTAAGTATCTTCTTGCACATCCCAAAACCATAAACAGCTCTTTATAAGTTTGAACTTACACAATTTTCTAAAACACTCTACCTACAAAACATATGTGAGCAATTGTCATATATGTGGCCCTACATCCAGCCTATCTAAGGCCATGTGTCCACCAAAGCGTTTTTAGCTAGCTGAAAATGCTATGGCAATCTGAAAAGGCCTAGCGAGCGAATTATGTTTGGCAGTGCAGAAGTCATGATGTCATGTTGTTTTGTTGAGACACTTTGTTGCTATACAGAATATCCGGCACAGTTTACTTTTTACTGATTTCCCTGATAATTTGTATAATGCTAAAAATGTTTGTATAGTATGAATGTCATATAGACACGTATGTTCGGAGACCAGAAATATTATTTTTCCATCTACTCTGCTATTTGATGTTGTACAGAAAAATGTTTTGACAGTTGGTCAGTGTATGTGTGGTCCATTGTGATTGGACAGTCTTAACAAGTGACAGTGATGACCGTTGATGACTCTCGTAAATCTGTAAAAAAAAATGTGTTTCAGCATTTATAGCCAAATAAAAAAAATTAAAAACACTCAGCAAGTCGTTACAGCATTTTAAAAACGCAGCACTCCCATTAAAAA